AGAAACAGAGAAACAAATAGAGACATAATGAGCATAGCTGCTGTTCCAACCAATTAAAATTGATTTGTTTAACCCAAACTAAAGAATAATAATGATGTGCATTTGATCAGATATAACTGCAGGACAAGATTATGAGCTGCATTATTTGAATGCTTGGCCAAAGAGATGTGTCTTTAATCTAGATTTAAACAGAGAGAGTGTGTCTGAACCACAAACGTTATCAGGAAGGCTATTCCAGAGTTTGGGAGCCAAATGCGCAAAAGCTCTACCTCCTTTAGTGGACTTTGCTATCCTAGGTACTACCAAAAGTCCAGAGTTTTGCCACCTTAGGGAGCATGATGGATTGTAGCGTGGTAGAAGACTAGTTAGGTATGCAGGAGCTAACCCATTAAGGGCCTTATAGGCAAGTAATAATATTTTGTAACTGATATGGAACTTAATAGGTAGCCAGTGCAGAGACTGTAAAATTGGGGTAATATGATCATATTTTCTTGACCTGGTAAGGACTCTAGCCGGGGTAGTTAACTTAAAGGGATAGTTTACCGAAAATTGAAAACTGTCATTATTTATTCACCCATTTAGACTTACTTTCTTCGGTGGAACACACAAGGAGGCAATTTGAAGACTGTGCTGGTCATTTTTTCCCATGAAATTACAATTAATTGGGACTGAAGCATTTTGCTTTTTTTAAAAGGAAAAACACTATAAAGCAAGTATAAAATATATTTAAAGTCGTCTGTTGTCATGTGATACATTTAAGCTGTTATTCATTGATAATCTTATAGCTCTGCTTGACAGAACTAAAAATGTCAGTTTTGATCCGTTTCACAAAACTAGTCTTAATGATTAACTAACTGGACTTTGAGGTTTTTGGACTAGCTGGTTTTTGAATTTGGTTCACAGACTCAAGGATCCAGTCACAGCAATTCTTGATGTAACAGCTCGGAAGAAGAAGAGATAACTAGCGAATGACTTACATTTATCACCCAAAGCCCTTGTATGACTTCAGAAGACTTATATTGTACAAGTCATATGGGCCACTTTTATGATCATTTTATGGTACCCTTGCATCCTTTCTGAAGCTTGAAAGCTCCTGTCCCCATTCATTTGAACAGATTTACTAGTACATTCTGCAGAATGTCTAGTTTTGTGTTACAATGGGAAAAAGAATGTTGTACAGCTTTGGTACAACTTGAGAGTGAAGAAATAGAGACAGAAGTTTATTTTTTAAAGAGATCACATCAATTGTACTTACCTTGTCTTCCAGCAGAGGTCAGTATAGTTCTTCAAATGAATCCTGCCTGTCAAACTACTTTTTGATATCCACAATAATTCCACTCAAGGCTGATTTATTCATGCATTCCTTTTGTTCTTTTCGGTGACAGATACAGCCCTGATACTTAGAGGACGCTTGTGACACAAAAGAGGTTTGTGTCAACAATACTTTCAATGTTTTTGATGTTTAGAGTGTTGAATTCCACAACAGGACAGCTTTCACTGGTATTTTGGATGTCTTTGCTGACAGCCTGTTCCCTGGATGCCTAAAACGAGTGCTTTTGTAAAGGAAAAATCTCTTGTCGGGGTGTGTTGTTTTAATGGGTGTCAGGTCCTGTGAGGCTGATAGCTTTTTCCACAGAAACTTTTGGATCAAATTCTTCAAAGACACGGTGACTGAGGGAAGTGCCTGTCCACAAGATTCATATCCCCCATGTTCACCTTGCCTGAGGCAAAGTGCTGAAGACAAGGAAGACCTTTGCAGCTTCCTCCTGAGAGCAGAGATTGGCTTTCTGGTGCATTGTTCCAAATATAAAACACCTTTTACTGGACCTGGGGTGAATCCATACGACCATACGTGCTGTGCGATAGTTTTTTTTTTTTTAAAGAGAACATGTTTGATAATACAGTATAAGAAAACTTATAAGACTCTAGACCTGGTTGGAGTCTGTTTTTTGTTGAGAATGTACTGTCAAATAAACACTACAGAAGATAGCACGTAGAGCTTTCACCAGTGGAAATGGGTTGACCTTATCTAAAGAATGTTTAAACAACCCATTACAAAGATTTATTACGTGCAGCTTGTTCTACTATTGAAATGATTTTGTAATTACTCAACTATCAACTATGGTCTCAACCATCAACAATGGTCTCATAATCTCAAGTAGTTATTTGAAAAAAAATAAAAGAAAGAAAGAAAATGCAAGTGTTGCCATTTTTGAACCTGCTTTTATTCAGATTCATTATGCAATTTTCTCCACATTAAAATACGGACATTATGATCTCTTTCTTTAATAGCCAATTTCAGAATGTGACACAGTTTGGTAATGTTAAAATGCCATGGGATGTATGATAAAAAGAGAGGGGCATTTATTCCTCATACTCCTTTGCCCTGGAAGTGTCAGGGTTTCTGGTGCAGAACGTGAAATTTGGGGTAATAGAATTCAGGAGAGAACAGTGTAACGGGAGATTAGTCTGGAAAGTCAGTGATCAGGTGTTAGATGACAGATTGGATGACATGATGATAAAGGAGAGACAAGTTAACTTAAGGGTGGAAAACTCGTCTTTTTTCAGCAATCAGAATTCAGAGCTGGTTGTGGTGCTTTGAAAGTCTCATGAAAGGAAGAGCAAGCAAATATGCTGATTTAAAAATGCAAAAATGTTAACAAGTCCTTGAGTCTCTGAGGTCAGTATGCTACCTGCTGGAAACCTTGAAAGAGTTATTATAGAGTGCCTTGCATACCGAAAAGGAAAAGGAAAAACGACCCCATTAAGAAAATGAATAATTTCCTTGCAGATAAACTCACAAAATATGTAGAGCCGCAAAAAGTTTCTGAATTTCTGCAACAGTATTATGTAGGCAAAAATTGACTTGACATTAATCATATAATATTTTAAATGTAGTATGATATTTAATTTAAAATACACAACTTTTATCCTAGGTTGTAACCACAGTACCATTCAAATTGCACTGATTTCATTCATGTCATATCAAGCAGAAGCCATTCACACGATTGAGTGAATGAGAATAACACTGTGACAGTGAAGTCTGACAAATCTGATAAATATATTTATTTATTTTAAAGACTACACATAAATCATTTACTACAAACACACAATAAAATAATTATATCATGAAATTAATCCGGAATGCAAGTCAAAAGACTGAATGGACCCTATTTACTTTGCTTTCTTAATAGACAGCCCACATCTTATTTTATATCATAATAATAATAGTAATAATAATAGACTAAAATGTACTTACATTTAAATTAATCATTTGATACAATACATTTATTCTGTACGCTTTTAAATTGTACTTGCATGTAAAATACCTTCCTGTCAATACATCAGTAATTAATTTATGTAGTTACGCCTACATTTATTTATTTATTTATGCATAAGTACATAGTAGTTAGACACTTCATATGAATTAGGACGATAATAATTATAATAGATATGATTATTGATATTATTAAACTATTTTTTTTACACATAAATCATTGACCTAAAATAATGCTTGAACTAATACTGTCAATAAATAATTAGGAATGCAAGGTTAAAGATAAAATATTATTTAAAAATATTACATATATTAATTTTATTTATGAATACTGTTTATAAACAGTATTTAGGAACGGTTTTAGGAACCTGGATGAATAGCTTTAGGACCCTGCAGAGCCCCGCTATAAAACACGTGGAGATTCAAGCAACACTCTTCCAAAGAATCAACACTTCACCAAAGCACGAGACCAAACCGCATCTGTTCTTAGCTGTCCGTGTGCTCTTTGCTTTTGTTTACACTCTGCACGTGTGACACGGGACAGTGTGAACACAGTAGACTGTAAGATTTAAGCAGTACTGGCTTTGTGAAGCTCTCCTGACAGCTCTATCGCGGGTCCGTAGACCACCCTCCCCTATCTCCCCTGTGGATTTAATCGAATTGCAGGAAGTCCCTCACATCCTCTCTGCTTGCGCTGTGTGTGTTTGTGTGTGTTCCTGTGTCGGTATATTATGAAGATCTCATCATAAGGAGCCGGGCATCATGAGGATCTACCGGCGCATGGAGAACTGGTGCCTCATGAGCGGACTGCGCGCGTTTGTGCTGCTGATAGTGGGACTGGCAGCTGACATCTCCACTCATCACTCACCCGACGGTAAGAGACACACTTCATATTAGTGCTTACCTTACTGTACACTTTTACTGAGTAAAACTAATAAAGAAAGGCAATTACTGTAAGTTCATTGTTATTACATGCGCTGGGGTAGCAGACCTTTGTGCCTGGTCTACCCCTAAAGGGTGCATATTGTTATCCTATAAAGCCTTTAGGGGTGTACCTTTGAGGGTATTGGCCCAGTGACAAGCTGGTGTACCCCTAAAAGTTACTTTTGAACATTTGCTAAAAAGGTTCAAAATTAAGATTAAAGCAATCTGAAATATGTGGAAATGAACACAGTGTCCAAAATTTGAAATGATATCCAATAATAACAACAGTGAAATGTTATATGTCAAATATTGAATTTTAAAAGCATGGAAGAGTTTGGCAGTTTGAATATATTTTTTTGATTGAACTCAGTTTGTGAACAAAGCACATGAATAAAACCAGTGGAGAGATGCTGAATGAGATAAATAGGAAACCTTGTGTGCATGAGGATGAACAACAATAGCAGGAAAGAGCAGAGATGCACATTTACATGTGGCTTTAGGAGATATGTTCAACAGTGAACATTTAAATGTTTTGACATCTGGTTGTCCTGTCTGTGTATATTAATTAAATCAGGGGTCACCAAACTCGGTCCTGGAGGTCCGGTGTACTGCAGAGTTTAGCTCCAACGTGCCTCAACACACGTGCCTTGAAGTTTCAAGTATACCTAGGAAGACCTTGATTAGCTGGTTCAGGTGTGTTTGATTAGGGTTGGAGCTAACCTCTGCAGGATACCGGCCCTCCAGGACTGAGTTTGGTGACCCCTGAATTAAATGAATGGCATTTAGAAAAAGCTTGTGTTGGACACACTGAGATGTACACAAAGATGCACCTTTAAGGGTATTGCCCAGACAATGATATCCAATAATAACAACAGTGAAATGTTATATGTCAAATATTGAATTTTAAAAGCATGGAAGAGTTTGGCAGTTTGAATATATTTTTTTGATTGAACTCAGTTTGTGAACAAAGCACATGAATAAAACCAGTGGAGAGATGCTGAATGAGATAAATAGGAAACCTTGTGTGCATGAGGATGAACAACAATAGCAGGAAAGAGCAGAGATGCACATTTACATGTGGCTTTAGGAGATATGTTCAACAGTGAACATTTAAATGTTTTGACATCTGGTTGTCCTGTCTATTAATTAAATCAGGGGTCACCAAACTCGGTCCTGGAGGTCCGGTGTACTGCAGAGTTTAGCTCCAACGTGCCTCAACACACCTGCCTTGAAGTTTCAAGTATACCTAGGAAGACCTTGATTAGCTGGTTCAGGTGTGTTTGATTAGGGTTGGAGCTAACCTCTGCAGGATACCGGCCCTCCAGGACTGAGTTTGGTGACCCCTGAATTAAATGAATGGCATTTAGAAAAAGCTTGTGTTGGACACACTGAGATGTACACAAAGATGCACCTTTAAGGGTATTGCCCAGACAGTGACAAGCTGAATCCCTAAAGGTACAATGAAATATTAATGAAATAATATTTAAAAAGTAATATTTTTAATGTAATATTTAATAATGCAAACACAAAATTAATAAATATTTTAAAAAGGCACTAGGTAAAAACATCTGTACATCATTTCATGCTTCTTATTGCATTATTTCTTATTATTTCTTTGTATTTATTACTTTAAGAACAAATTTAAATGCACTTGACAATTATTCACTTTACAGTCAAAGATATTGCAGGTGAAATTCAGCTATATGGAAATTGCATTTGATCCAATGATATGTATTTATTTAACAAAAATGTGCAACAATGTCAGTACTCCATAGTTTTATTAGGTTAGTGGGATTAGGTTTTAAATAGGACTTGATTTTGGCATGTACATGTGCTGCATTCATTTCAGTGTGACATGATTGAACTGAAATAAATGAACTTTTCCATGACATTCTAATTTATTGAGATGCACCTGTATTTGAATTCTGTATCCGATTTGAATGGCTACTAATCACTTAAAGTTGCTTTGCATGGCCAAACTCTATAGGGACAAATTCAGTAAATATGATGCACCCGGCATTTCAGTGCACAAACCTCATAATAACAGAACATCTCTTTAAATGTGATGTTTGCGTATGTTACAGTACGTCTATTGTTCATGGCAGCACTTAAGAAGAATGTCATAATCAGGCATAAATGAAGACACATAGTCAACAATGTTGACAAAAATGATATATTGATAATGATAAATATGAAACTAAAACCACCAGTGAGTGGCGGCATGTGACAGTCTTGTCAGTGAGTCATTGTGTCATTCAGATGTTTGAATCACAGTGGTGCTTCAATGCTATACAATTTCAGCAAAGTATGCCAGATTATAGTGATCTGCCACATCCTCCACACCACAGTGCTCTGAACCAGTCCACAAAATTGCAAAATTGCTGTGAATCGGATACTAAAACAAGACAGCATGTGGAAGTAAATGGCGCTGTCAGTGTAAAAATATGCAGTCTACTCTACTTTACTGCAATCCTGAAGATTTAAAGTTTGCGTTCTTTTAATTCAGCTTTGAGGTGGTCACGCCATGACGTATCAGTCTTCTGTTGGTCACACATCTTCACATGATTCGAATTCGCAGGGCAGAGTTCACCAAACTTGGAATCCAGTGAAATTCACATAAGCTTGCGTTTCCTGTCTACCGCATCCACATTTGTATGAATGGAAGTCAGTGGAATGTGACCAACCCTAGTAAATAGAGACAAGGAGGAATGTATTGATAAAATAGTGATAAATTTGGTGGGTATTTCTGTTGAAATCTACAATTCCCTTCCTGTGTATGTTTCTTTTTCATGTGAGAAAGAGATAGCTAGAGACACTCATGTAGATTTTTTTGGATAATGCAGGGTGAGGTGACGTGATCACCAAACTCTGATACAGTTTTTCCACACCCTCTTGAGCTGGACTATGTGTGTTTGTGTGTTTCTTTTTAAAAGGATTCAGGTCTGCCCCAGCAGTCATGTGGATCACCTCACTATGGCCTTGGCCTCCATGACCAATCAATTCTCCATGAGGGTTCTGGTTTTACCTCCTGGAGAGTGACACACTAACATACATAAGCCAATTATCCAAATTTACAGGATGATCAAATATCTCTTGTGGATTAATGTAAGGCAGATGCATTCAGTCTTACGTTCATCACAGCTTTTGGTGTTATAGTATAAGGAGCTGTACTGAGACCACTTTCACGGTTTCTGAGTTTCTGAAACAGTTTTGACATGTTTAACACACCCCTGTTATTCTCTGCATTTATTCAAAGCTCAACACCACACACACACACATACACACACACACACACACACACACACACACATCCATACACACACACACTCATTCACTGACTGGCAGAAATGCAAACTTATTGATTCTGGCTCAGACAATAGGGATCAGTTTGTGCAGTCTGGTGGTACAGGTCTAAGCTCTTTGCACTCATTAGTCTTTTGCTGTCATTGTGCATGCCGATTTCTCTAAGTGTACAAACATGTCTAAAAGTCGGACATATTAGACACAGCTAAGTGGTCTTCAAAATTTGGTTTATGTATTTGTGTTTGTGAATATGTTGCATTTGTTTAGAACTGTGTTCAGGGATGTATATTTAGTTGATAAAAAATATACTTTACATTGTAGTCTATTTGATTCTTCATTATATGCGGGCTGTTACGGTAAGGGAGAACGCAGGAGTCTCAAACTTCACTTGAATAGAGTTTAATACTGAAAATGCAGGGTACATACAACTCAGGAGCAAAATCAAACAACTATTATCAAAGTTGACCGGACAAGGAATGAAGGAACAAACAGGAACTAATACACATAGGATAATTAACAAAACAGGTGCATAGAATAATCAATCAACTCAACAAGAACTGGAAAATGACCATAAAAGCAAACTCAGGAACAAGAACAGGGGTAAAACACGGAAAAACAAGTCCACAACACTGACATTACAGCCCCCCCCTCCCGATAGGCACGTCCCGCGCCATAACATATCCACCGGGGAATGGGGGTGGGCGCTCAGGGCAGATATGGGAGCTCAGGGGGCCATGGCGGGACAGGTAGTTCAAGGTGCCATGGCGGATCAGGTAGTTCGGGGAGCCACACGGAGGAGCAGGTACTCCACGAGGCCATGGCGGATTTAGTGAACTCAGGAGGCCATGGCGGTGCAGGCAGTTCAGGAGGCCATGGCAGAGCAGCCTCCGCGGCCCCAGCCCTCGCCTCTATGTGTGGAGCCCTACTACCCCCCCCCCCCAAGAATACTTGGAGAGGATAATGGGCTCCAAGGCCTTCTCGTTTGGTGCGGTATGTGGGGGTTCCTGGCGTGGGGTGAGCTGGCGAGACGCGGCGTGCCTCAGAGGGGGCTGGACGACGAGACATTTCCTTTATTTCTTCCACTTCAAAATCTGAATCATTTAAGAAAAGGACAAGATTAATCAGCTCAATCAGGGGATAATCACACATGGGAAGACCACAGTGGATCGTCTCGTCGTCCAGCCCCAGCTGAAAGCACGCACCAAGAGTGAAGTCGTGCCAGCTCAGCTGGTTAGCAAGCTCAAGGAAATCCTCCACATACCGCTCCAACCTCCGACCAGCCTGCCGCAAACTCCACAGTCTGTCCTCAGTCCTATGAGACTAAAAATGAATTGTTTAATAATTTAATCAATCCGTCAATCAATCAATCTATCTATCTATCTATCTATCTATCTATCTATCTATCTAATTTGTCTGTCAGTCAGTTTATTATCTATCTGAGATTATTTTTCTTTCTTGCAAATTTTTTAATGAATATCGTATGTTATATTACAAGTATAATTCAAATGTGGCTATGAATGCAGTAGTATATTAGTTTATTAAAATAGAAAACAAATGTTTCAGATTTATATATGTACCCCAGGATAAATATGTTTTTGAAGAGAAAAATGAACAGCAGGAGTCCTTAACCTAAGGGCCACTGTTTAA